ACAGTGACCTTTGAAACTGTGGTCCCAGCTCTCTTCATGTCATTGACCAGCTCCTCCCTTGTAGTTCTGGGCTGATTCCTCACCTTTCTCAGAATCATCGATACTCCACGAGGTGAGATCTTGCATGGCGCCCCAGTCCGAGGGAGACTGACAGTCGTCTTTAGCCTCTTCCATTTTCTAACAATTGCTCCAACAGTTGATCTATTTTCACCAAGCTGCTTGGCAATTGCCCCGTAGCCCTTTCCAGCCTTGTGGAGGTCCACAATTTTGTCTCTGGTGTCTTTTGACAGCTCTTTGGTCTTGCCCATGGTAGTAGTTGGCACTGTAGTGACTGTGGGGTGGACAGGTGTCTTTAAAGAGCTCAGACAGGTGCTACTAATTTAGATTAATGAGTGGAGTAGAGGTGGACTTTTTCAAGGCACAGTAACAGGTCTTTGAGAGCCAGAATTCTTGCTGTTTCTCAGGTGTTCAAATACTTATGTTCAGCAGTGCAAGACAAATAAATTCTTTAAAAATCATACAATGTGATTTCCTGAGAATTTTTTTTTATTCTGTCTCTCACAGTGGGAATGCACCTACAATGTGAATGTCAGACCCCTCCATGATTTCTAAGTGGGAGAACTTGCAAAATCGCAGGGTGTTCAAATACTTCTGTTCCTCACTGTACTGTAAGAAACTTGAGAAAGACCCATTGCATTCTCAGTCATGTCTGTCCCAGTCCTACAAATCTGACTGGTTGGCACTTTGAAAGCTGCATTATACATAAATAATGCTGGCTTGCCTATAACCTATAAATGCTAGATGAGTTTGTTACCTCTCCCTGTATTATCTCCCATCTATGGCTACTATTACTACAAATAAAGAAACTGTACCATTAAAGGCCTTGATCATAGAATCAAGGGTTTCCATGGAGACTCCACTGTGGCCTTTTGCCAGGGTATTGATTCTCAGAGCCAGCACCATGCGGGTCCTTTCTATGCTCAATGGGGCACCAACTCCTTTACACACACACAGAGACACAGGTTAATGTGGAACTAGTGTAAAAAAATATTGCATGCATTTATACATGACCTTGAGTAATTTATTGAAAACCATAACTAGGGGGAAGTTTTGCTTCAAGTGTATATTTAAACTGGTGAACTTAGATGACTGACCAGCACAAGAAGAACGGACCAAATTCTCCTGTAGCTTCCTGTAGATGGAGGAAAGTGCAGGCTAGCTATTAGGACATGCATCACACAATTATAATAAAATGCAGAAACACATCAGTAAGAAATGGTGCGTTAAAACGTGGCATTGATCCAGCATAAATGTAGTTAAATAACTTTACTTACATTAGTTGTTCTTTTGGTATGAGTGTGCATGCAAACTTTCCGAACCCTGTGTTGACTCCGTACACAACTGCAGTGAAAAATAATACACACTATGTGTTTTGATTCTTGGAAAGAGGGGAGAATGAGGAGAATGAGGAGAATGTCCATACCTTTGTTTTCTCTTATAAACACATCAATGAGCTCTCTGGCCTTTTGGACTCTTTCCTCGGCCTCCAGGGTTAACTAGCAGGAAACCAAACATCAGCAAAGATCAGCCTATTTGTCACCATTTTGTCTCTTCTTGTACAAAGGTTGATGTTGCCTCACCTTTATTTTGAACAAGCCTTGACCCAAACTGACCAAATCGGCTGTGGTCAAGCTGGTGCCATCCAGGGAAATGTACTGATGGCAAAGAGCAACAATTATCTGCGAAGAATAACTGCTTTTTGATGCAGTCATATTATAAAGTATAAGAAACAGCAGCACCCACCTTGTTGGGCTCTTGATAAGAGCTTTGTCTTTTAGAAGCAGGTTTAAGGAAGTACAATAAATCAGTTCAGTAAAACATAAAGTGAACATATCCTATGAACAACATAACTGTACTCCTACAATCACCCGTGACTCATTTGCAGATTAAACTGATTAACAGTAATTAATTACCTTTGTTTATTTAAATTTTAAGCATTATTGTGTTTTTGCTGAACTTTTGCTCAGTGTATTTAGCAATGGGAGAAGAAAGTATTCAAATTCTTTTCTTAAAGGTTAAGGCTGGCCATTTTCTATAATGATAATATTTTCCAGTCCCCCTACAGAGAATAAAATCAACAATGAATTACCCCTCTTCACCATTAACGTTTGTCAGTCTATTGAATTAGCTTACTTGTCTGTGCTATAGTGCCTCATTACAGAATAAGACCTGAATGGTTGTTTAAGCTTCAAATGGCTTTAAGGTTTTACACCATCTCAAATAAGTAAGAGTCATTCACAGTGAGTAGAGGCAACTCATTGTTGGGTGTAGTGTTTGTATGGGCATTGTCGAAAAGACTACAGCTCTTTAATAAAAGCAAATCAATTAAACCTTTTTATTATAATACAAAAATCTTGGTGGAGCAAATGTTTTCCATGGCTTTAATTGTGGCCTTGTTTTCAGGAAGGCAACATTATATTTTTGTCCTTGCATTTAGCTGCAGAACAAAACAAAGAGCAGAGGAAGGACCACATTCATTCCCAACCCTACAGGGAAAACCCAATAAAAGCAATTTTTATGAATATGTTATTGTTATTAAGGTAATGCATTTACACTCTACATTTTGCCTGTCATTCACACACACACACACACACACACACACACACACACACAATGGCAGCAAACTACTGGTGCTGGTCTGTCCATTATGAGCTACGGTATTTGGTGTTCAGTGTTTGCCCATGAACACTTCAACATTTGTAAAGAAGGAACCATGGATCTCCCTCATGCATATTTCTTGATGCATACTTATTTGCAACCATCTGTGTATGTGTGTTCAGGTTAGTTCATTCATTCCATAGACAGCCTGAAGAGCCAGACCATTTTTTAAAAAAGATTAAGGGCTCCTGTAGTGAATGAGGTTTAATTTCAACATACATATTTTTACCTTTCAAAAGAGAAAGAGCAGGGACATGAAAAAAAAAAGTCCTACCTCTGGTGTAAATTACTCAGAGGTTAGTTTTGGGAAGACTGAAGTAAAGGGGTGCAAAGTATAATGAGAACAGTGAGAATCCACAGACTGTCACAGATATCCTAAAAGTACTAGATACAGTATCTACACTTGCATGTTGCTACTTGTTGCTTTTAATTTGTATTTAATGTTTTAATGTAATTGTATTTGAATATTTTATGTATCATGTGGGTATTTTGGTAAGCACTTTGAATTGCCTTTGTGTATCAAAATATGCTATATAAATAAAGTTTCCTTGCCTAATCTCAAGGTTCAAAATGATTAGCCATTTTTAATAGGTGTGTCATTGCCACACTGGTGTAAAAAAAGGGTGGGGGTGCTGCCTGATTCCACTATGGTACAAAGTATTAAAATTAGACTGAAATGACTGTAAAGTTAGTAGAAGGATACACTGCAGTTGCCAGGGGAGAAGTGTCATATCTTTCAGTTTCTCCTGTGAAGACTCCAGAAACAAAGAAAAATCTCATTATTCCTGGGAAATGATCCTATCTGTGTATAAACAGTGCATACTCTTACCTAACTGCAAAAAGTCATTGTCCTCCAGAACATCCTCCACCATGTCCTCAGGGTGCAGGAGCTCGCCACCCTGGCACCTCCGCATGCTGAACTCCATCTCCCTGCCGCTATCCTCCAGCTTCTTGACCTGATGGTAGCACCCCAGGGCTTTGGACCCTAGAGACTGGATGGAGGATGAAGGGCCTCCGCAGGACACCCTGACCCATTCGCCCCGAACACACACAGATACACAGCGCATCATGTAGACAGATGAAGTCTCCAAAGGGTCTGAGGTTACAGCACTGATGTGTGGTCTGCACTCACACAGTCCCAGGTTGAACCTGTTCTGCCAGAGTGCAGAATGTCATATTTCATTTTTGTCCCTGATTCTGCCACTCCCACCTACCTTGCAGCAGCCCAGCCTTTCCACATCACCTGATTCCCCACACCCACCTGCAAATCTCATTAGCTCCTCGGTATATGTACCAACACATTTACACTTACCCTCTGTCATATTTTCTACCATGGCTTCTCAGCCATAGCTTTTCAGCCCTTTCTTCCTGTGTACATTCTTTACCTGACCTTCAGTGTTTTCCTGCCTGTCTGCTGACTCCACCATATCATCACATCACAGCATCTCTGAGTCAGACAATTATAGTTAAGGTCCAGTGGTTTCTGAGCACTGACAGCAAATATTAACTCAGTTCCTCTTAGGCTTAGTAACATCTTCTGTAATGTTTTAACGGTGCTCAAACATGCTGTCAATTTTTACTTTAAGATTAAGCTTCATATGTGATTCTTTTTATTCCTCACACATCCTTGCTCAACTACTAACCACAGGTTCATGTTATTTAATTTTCTGATACATGCAGATTAAACCCTTGTCAGTCCTTTACATGTATTTCAAATGTGCCCCCCCTCTTTGAGTCTGTGCCCCAGCCTGGCCATGCATTACAAACATCTTCTAGATCCACCTTTATTGCCAAAATGGGTGATATGAAATTTCTTGATGTCAAAGAATTGTTTTCCAAATACACATATGTAAGTGTCACTCTGTTCCACTGAGGTGACATAAATATATTTTACAATGACATATTAACCCTCCTGTTATGTTGCAGGTCAAATTGACCCACGAACATAAGGGAACCCTCCTGTTATGTTCATTTCTCAGGTGATGCCTGCTCAGCAGTTATGTTCGTGGGTCAATTTGACCCGCAACATAACAGGAGGGTTAATTTAAGAGTAAGAACCTACAGCCATTGTATATCCAGTATGTGAGGCCATACCAGGACAAAGCATGACCAAGTTAACTTTTAACAGGCTAACATGCTCATCCTGAACTTGTGGACTCATTTTCACAAGGGAGCAGAGGTTTTCTTAACAATGAGTGTGGTGACTCACTTCATTATGTGCGGAGAACGATGCTTAATAAGTTCAGTGGGCAGGGCAGTTGAGTGTCTGTGGTTAGTTCACATCTGTAATAACAGACGTCAGTGGTTAGTTTGCATGTCTGCAATAAACTAAATGTTAAACTAAAAAAAAAGTTATTGTCTTCTGTGTAAACTATCCAGTGTGGTCTGCCTTTGGCAAGGAGGAGGAGGGCTCTCTGCATCAGCTGTGTGCTTGGCCAGCAAGCGGTATTTGAGACTTGACATACTCCGGTGGCAACTCAATTCACATTGAAAGTAAATGTAAATACCTTTGACCTCATCAAGAGAACCATCTGACAAGATTTTGAAGCTGAACTTTCCATTCAAAAGATCCTTTTCTTTATCCATTTCTGCTGCTGCATGGTTTCCTGATTTCCCAAACGTACAGAGCGTGCTGAGGGTGATCATCACAAAATGTGCATGCATTAATCATGCCTCAAAAAATGGTGTCATTAGAAGGAATTGTTGGGGATGTACTTTAACTTGTTAACTTTGACAGCCCTACTTTATATGTATAAATGGTACCGTTTCATATTTTGAAGGAGTGTTTTTTTAGCTGGTTTCACTTGTAAAGGCACTGATGTCACCACTCAATAAATGGAACTTAATGGATAAAGAATATTGCAGATTGATTAACAAACTAACAATCACATGTTTTACTCAATTTAAGAACAGTGTTATGTGCCTTTTCTTTGAACAGCTCAAGAATATAAGATAGTAATGTAAAGTCATACTGACATACTGTATTAGCAAACTAAGTGTCTGCTTAGTGCCCACCAGAGGGCCCCAAAGAACAATTGAAATGTCCCACAAGCAGGCTCCAATGCCTTTATTCTGTAAACGATTCACTCCTGACATTTGTTTCTTGTAATCTTGGTCAAATTCTGACATTACATAGCCATTCTTAATAAACTAAATATGTCAATGTTCATGTAATATTAATGTATAATGTCATATTTCCTCTGGGTGGCCCCACCTCTGGGCCCCGGGGCTGAAAGTCTCCATCAAGCCCCTGCCCATGCAGTTCATTTCCTCCTATAGAAGAGCGGGGATCACCCATAGCCCTTTTCCCCAGGAAGCTCTCGTTGGCTGCTTCCTGAGCTGCTCCCACACTGTGAATAAACAGCACACTTCAATGTCCGCCCATGGGCTCCTACATCCCTTCATGGACAGACAGACACATTCTCACAATAGAATAGCTGCACATCGATCTTCTGTCTGAGGAGCTAATCCCAACAAAGACTAACCTAGCCCCCACCCTTTCCTTTCCCTCTTTTTCTGCAGTTTTACCCCTTTGTTTGTTCTTCCTCCTCCTCCCATCCCTTTGTTATATTTAAGGCACTTTATAAATAACAGCAGTCAGGTTCGTTGGACTCAAAGTCCAAGTTTGAGTTTTAGTGCATCTTTTCTCACTCCGCACACTGGGGAAGCATCTTATTAGAACAAAATTATGGTCATCACACCCCACTGTACAAAAGTGCTGAAGAAAACTGAGAAGGTATTGGTGCTTTTGCTGCTCTTACAAAACTGTGCAGCTAATATGCAGTTTTTCTGAAGGTGCCACTAACAAAGCCATGATATCATTACAATCAAAAAATAGTTTTCACCCCTGGAAGCATGTGAGTCAAACTGTGTGTAGATTTTGTCCTGATGGTGATGCTAGAAGATGAGTCACCAAGAGATTAACATTCCTTCCTATAGTGAAGTATTTCCTACAGTAGTGATACTAGGCTGAATAATAACTGTCAGAAGTGGCATGACTGCTTCAGTTCTGCCGCCAAAGCAGCAGCCATGTTGGTTTCTTTAAACAATCTTAACAATTGTTCCTTCAACAAAGTAAGGTCTACAACAGTTGTCTGAACCCAGTAAAACTGTAGCCATAGAGGGGCCTGATCGCAACTGTTTTTGTAAAGGTACTGTTGGAAATGGACCAAACAACACTGACGCTGAAATTTTAGGCACCACAGCTAGCAGGTCAAAAGGCATAAGAAACTTAGCAGCTTAAGTGTGACAGTTCATTTTTGGAAACAGCACAAAACAAGTGCCACTTATATTGTCCTGCAGCTTTTGACACATCTCTCCCCATCTTCATCAGCAGATCAAGTTTGCCCAGCTGTCACAAAATAGTGGGTGAAAGTCCTACAACAGAAAAAGTGGATACTGAGTGGACATTATATGTCAGCTAGTTTTCAAAGTCAAAATGAACTGTCAAGTTCAAATTCTAACAAAGTACTTAAAAATAGAGCATTTGAACATTTCAGTCTGACAATTGAGCAAACTTTCTCTGCTCATGAAGACCATGTGATTTAGTCAAAACCTAACAGGACAATCAAGTAAATGGAGCTTGCGCATGGCTGCTTTTGTCATACACGTGCCTTGATGGAAGGAGACAGAAATTAGTTCTTGTACCTTGTGAATGAGGAAATAAATGCCCTCGTGTTTATAGCAAAACTAATTGTATGGTTCTACTACAGCCCACTGAAATGTGTGCACAGATATTAAACTTAAGTTTCAGAAGATATGCTCCACTGATAGGCTACAATGAATATGTTTCTTGTACAAAAGATGGAGAGCATAAGATCTGTGATAACAATGTTCAAAATGAAGCATCACAGTTGCCAGAGAAAAAGAGGAGGAAACTGTCATTGGAGATTTCTGTTCCACAAAACAGAGCCTTATTCACTAGGGAACGTTGTCTGCTGTGGATCTGACTAACAGTTTGTGGTGTCAGTCAGAGATGCACCCATATAGTAGCACCTCCAGATAAGTCTGTGTTCTGTGCGTCCTATCACAGTCAGATAGACGTGGCTATCTGCTGATTTCTCTGAGGCTTCTCGGCTCAATAGCTTGCTCTGAGGTCTTGCATCTGGAGAATGTTCCTGCAGGTCACACACACCATCCTCTGTCCTTGTACTCCTTTCTTAGCTTGTCCTACGTCACCTCCTTCCTCCCTGTAGCCTTTGACCACTGGTCCTCCCTATCCATTCTCATAAGCGAAGATGTGTGTGGTGCTGAGAAATGAAGGATGAAGGGTTAACAACAAAACTTTTCCCAATCAAAGCAGAGGAAACAGGCATTTGCTCGGAGCAGAACCCCGTATCACTGAACCATTTGCAAAACCTCTCTTTTTGAAACAAACACTGTTCTTAACATACACACACTCCAGATGCAGCTCCACTTGGTACCAGGCTTCTGATAACAAGGTGTGGAGTTTTCTGCCTCCTATCATTACTCTCATATCAGGCCTCGTCCCACCCCACACACACTGTACAGAACACAGAGGAAAACACTGACCAACATTTTCCAAACAAAACTCTGCATTTCTCACTTCATCAGCGTTAAATGTCACTCGTCTTTGTAGATAATCATAGAATAAAACTCATTTTTTTCTCAATTAAATATTTGTAAAATATTTGTGTTAGGAGGTGCAGAGAGAAAAACATAGGGACAGGACAGTGGATCAGTGATTACAACTCATGATTTGTTAAAACCTACACCGTTTTCTTGCACCAGATTTCATCAGCCATATTGTACAGTAGCATATTATCTGTGATGTGCTAACGTTAGCTAACATGTTACCAATTTTTAAAAGAAAGTTGAAGGTGAAATTTGCATTGAGTTAAAAAAAAAAACAACTTACAAACAGTGAGTCCTCCAACTCAATCCCTTATTTGGGCAGAGATTATGCATCCCACCTCAGCTCTCCCAGCCCTCTGAGGCAAATCTGAGATTTGTGATATTGGGTTTTATAAAAAAAACATATCTTGACTTGAATATCAAAGATCAGTGTCTAATATTGCCAAGATTAACACTGGAGTTAACTGGAATCTCTGTGCAGTGTATAGACACTGACTTATGAAATGCCAGCAGGTTTGACAAAATGTTTGATACAGCATATGTGCTTGTGGCAGAGTGCATCATATCTGTGCCTGAAAAACAAGCACAAAATGGTGTCTGAGGATGTACGAAAGTCACACACACAGCTTCAATTAGAGGTTAGCTCTCGCAACAATATATGGTCTGAAGAGACTTGTGTGAAATCATATAGTAGAGAAGCCAGTCAGCTGAGTTTGTGGCAAAACCTGTTAAAGTGTTTTCATATTGTTTTACTTCGTATGATAAGTTATACTCAGAGTAGAACTGAAGTGACATTTGTTAAGGTTATGTAAATACTTTCAAAATGCACCTGCATTGTTTTGCATTTTGTGACTTTTAGTCAAATAAAATTCAATTTTTACAATCATATATTTCATCATTGAAGATTTAAGTGTTAAAATATCTCATCCTCATGAACCCAATATTGTATATTATCTTGTCTCTTCAGCTAAGTGTATCATCACATCCTTAGTTAACATCATTCTAGTTTGAAACGTGTGTGAACCTTAAAGCCTCAGCACAGAAAAGGACTAACACTGTCAAATCTAGAATGACAAAAGAGTTATGTCACAACTATCAGGCAAATCTAAACAAGAAGAGAAGACTTTCACTGTTGCACAAAGATGTTAAAGGTACTCACAATAAATCTGCCTGCAGCTGACACAGAAAATGCAGTAAATTACGGGAAGGCTACAATGTTATCTCCCCGTGATTGGTACCACATCTCAGGAGAAATTCAGAAAACTAGGGGTTAGCTTTTAAGAAGCAGCGAGAGGTGGGAGGCTTGAGTCTACTGAGAAGTGGAACAGGGGCAGATGTGTAAGGGGGATGCTTATATGAAGAGGTTACTGGTGGGGAGTTTGGGGATACATGGAAGAATGCACTCTCACGTTCCTGGCATGTCCACCTGATTGTAGCAGGCTAATGAGGCGAGGGAGGAAGCAAGTGCTGCCCAGTGCGTATGGAGAGGATGAAACCATCAGGGCGCTGCCCGGCTCCAAGCAGCTGAGCTCACGGCCGAGGAATTTCAACAGTACACGCACTACCACACGTTTATACCAGGATAACTGAAGCTGGGCTAGCAGGAAATTCATCAGCAGATTTGACCATCTACTGCTGAAATGAAGATTCCTGTCTGACAGAAACACCTAAACCCAAGATTTACTTTTATCTCTTCACCATGGCCACTGTTTTGTTGTAAACCAAGCACTTTGGCAAATGAAGCACTTCTTCCAGCAATGAACGCATATTCCTAAGTCCATTCCAGGGTTACCATAGAAACGCTTAGGCTCAGTACTTAAGGAGTAGGGCTGATAATGTTCTATATTAACAGTACTTTCAACCAGTGAGCTAATTCAGGGCTGAAACATTGATGGACATTAACCATGAGTAGGCAAATCATTTTTGATTTTAGTCTCTGTATGGAAATTGATGAACATAATATTAATATAAACAATGAATGGCCTTATCCTTTAAGGAGCACCTAAGATGAATGAATGTAAAAGGCAACATGACAGAATGATGACAGAATGAATGTAGAAACAGTGAGTCAAATGCTCTGAAAAATAACAGAGGGGTGACTTCATCTCAAAATGAAATGGAAGCCAGCAACAGGAATGACCTTTCAATCAACAATGTAGTTGCAGCCACTGATGAGGCCTTAGCCTTCACAAAGAAGTGAGTCCTGTAAATGGTAACAAATAGAGGGCATAGAATATAGCCTATTTCACATGTACACATACATGCTGACATGTATTGAAGTAATTAAGTTGCATTAGCCAAGGAAGCTAGTTGGTTGAAGTTACATGTTATAAAAAAGTGTGACCAAAAGGAAGGGTTGGAAGTCTGACGTCACCTTAACAAATTACCATTATACCATCTTGGAAAAGCCAAAGATACTTTTGGCGTGTGAAGCTGCCAAATAGTGTTTGTGGTGAACTCAATTATAAGACCAGATGAACTGAGGTAGAGGAAGGTTCTTTTACTTGTTGCAACAGACAAACAGTACAAAGTCCAGGATCGCAATCGGGTCAGTAAGACAGTCCAAGGTCAGCGCCAGTAAACACGTATAGCCAGGAGATCCAAACTGGAGAGGTCAGGGAGGAGATATCAGAAGGTCGGTATACGGCATGCAGTCAGAATCTGGGAGGGAATAGGGAAAACACGGTGGTCAAAAAACAGCAATCCAGGGTCAGAAACTAGAGAGTCAGGCAAGAACAAATGCTGGAAAGTCAGAGCTGGAGTCTAGAACAATCTGGCAGCGTTCTAGTGAGGAAACGCTGCCGTTATGCTGTTGAACACAGGCGTGAGTAATCAGAAGCAGGTGAAACCTATGAACACTGATTAAACTAAAGAGTCCGTAACTGAGATGCGACTAAAAGGAAGCGGTGGCAAAATAAACAGGAACATGAAGCAGAATGGGACAGAATCGTGACATTTAACACTAGTAGAGGAACCCGCCCAGGTAAAGTTTACACACTTAATCTTGAGTTAGAAAAATAAATGTATTTGTGCCAGTGCAAAACAGTCAAAATTGTAGAATGGGTTAGAAAAATACCTGAATCAAAATTCAAAATATATAATCACTATATAGAACCACTAGTTAAAACAACATACTAGTAATAATAAAACCCTTAATCCAATTTTACACCCAGAGCTAAACTACAAACAAAGATTAGATAAAAGTACAGCTAATGTTTGCCTTTTAATGGTGTAATGTAGCAATTGTAAGCCTGCACAATGTAAAAAGAGCCACATAGAAGAACAAGGAGGGCAAAACAGCAGGAGCTTTAGTGAGTTTAGCCTAGGCAAATAAAACCAGGAAGTCAAACAAACTTGAGACTTTACACGTACACCTCTGAGCAAAACACTGAACCTGCAACACTTCTAATCCTGAAATAACTAGAAACTCTTAAAATCATGTCTATATGTTTGTTTGTCAGCTTTTTGACTGTAAAACCCATAAAACAACAGTCTATTTTACATTATAGGAACTTGTGCTTTGTATCTAGTG